TTAGGAAAAACCTAACGGATCTTAAAAACAAACTGAAATAATTATGCTATAATCGAGAGATATTCTTTGCTTTTAAATCTAGCCAAAGATATTGTTGATATAGTTATTTGGATGACGCTCAACTAATTTTCCATGCTTTGCTTATATGTTTAATAGATAATATGAATTTAATACGAACTATATATTTCTTTTTCTCCAATATTAATTCTTTATCACAGTGTTACTCGTTTTACGTCCAATCAATCATTTAAAAAAGAATAATAATAAGATTAATTGTTGCAAATATAAATAGTTAAATATCATGTCTTGTTCAGAATTACAGTCAATTTGTTGTAATAAATTGTGAATTTTTTTGTCACAAAATGTATAATTTCTTTTAATTCATTATAATGATACGCATATTCTTATACAGCTGTATCAGCTGTTCTTATATAGAAAGAAACTCTGTTTTCAAAAATGCAATTTCTCTTCATGCAATTTATTTAAGTGAACGATATGATTCCCCTACAAACATTCTGCGAGATTATACACTTTATAATCGTGCTAGAATTCGTTTGTATAAGAGTAAATAAATTCTATATTATGAATCTTAATAATTTTTAAAATATTCTGAAAAAAGTCTCTTCTTATTTTTCTGTATTACAATACAAATTATGTTCAATAAATATTGTTAGAAACATAAATACATTTAGTTAAAGTTAGAAAATGTTAATTTTTACTTTTTACTTTTTACTTACGAAATAAAAACGAGATATGTATGACTTATCTATAATATCACTTTTGAACGGAAAAATTCATAAAATTCGATCGACATCGTTGCGTCTGCATTGCGAAATTGAAATAGAACTACACAGAGAGTAACATAGTAACTGAATTGTTTAAGTAAACGGTCTGTCGGTTTCTGCAGAAAAGGATATAGTTCAATGTTCGTAACAATTTAGAAGAAATGGTTATATAAATTCTTCAAAAACAATTTGGCGTAAAAGCATAATATCTTGCACTTTCAGATAATACGTTAAGATAGCGAAGATAGGTTGATAAACATATATATGTTTCAAGTTGAATAAAAAATGAATCATAATACCTGCCTTGTATCGATGCACCGGGCACATTATTGGTTATTGCATCAGTTATAGTTATTACGTTGACCTGATGGCAAGTGAACGATGGAAGAACGATGTCGCATATGCGATGACTCCTTTCAAACTATTAACGTGGCCCATTGGCCTTTGGCCACTTCAAGTTTATAACATCTATTCGCTAATACGATGTGTCTTGGTCACTTGTTGCATGGTATCGTCACAGTTTCGATGATTTTTGTCATGATACGTAGATAGAATGTTAACACCATAATAATTAAAATAGAACTTCATTGATATCGATAACAAATGTTTGAATTTTTAAGCAATAGATATCCTATTAGTGATAACGTCGCGAAATTGTTTTTTTTCTTTAGGAAAAAAACAAGTTTTTTTTTTTTAGAAGACACACAAATCATTAGCCGTTGTAAATTGTTCAATAAAGATATTTCTACTTAGGATTTATTTCTTGTTTATATGAAGGATAACATAACTATTTCTAAGAAATTCTAGAGATGTGTAATGTTGCTTACTTTGTGACTTCATTATTCATATTGAAGAATCGCATTGATAACATTTTTAGTAATATAGTATCAGAAAGAATAGATCGCATACACAGAAAATAAATTACATAAATAAAATTTATATATAAAATTGAAAAAAGATTTTCATAATATTAATATTATTTCTATTAAATTTTTATTTATAGCATGGAAAAATTTATATAATCATTATATTATCCATCGCATAATAACTTTGCTTTGTAAATATTTTAATATTAAAGTTATAAAGTGTTCAATTTTGCATGTCTTTCAATTAGTTCAGATTATAATGTATTTATATATACGTAAAGAGCTAAAATGGAAGCTTATTTATTCCAATTCTAAAAATTTTATTTCATAATTAAATTTTAATATTTTCAAAGATCCATCGATCTGGAATTGGGGCATATTTTTAGTAGACACAAAAGCTGTTTAATTGAGAAAATATACATTTACCCATATCAACAGAGCACAATAGTGATCTTGCCTTTCATGGAGTTTCACATGGGTTGTACTAACACGGAGCAGAACATAGACAGTCTCATGTTAGCCTGTTGTGGTATCCTCGGAGTGTTCAAGACTATATGTTTCCGTATTTACGCGAAAAATTTAACTGATAATTACAGTTCTGCCCGGAATGATTATTTGACAATTAAAAACACAGAGTATCGTGTCATCATGCGAAAACACGCTTTTATGGGAAGAATTCTCTCGTGTTTCATGGTGTGTTTCTCTTACATTAGTGTGACGATATATTCGCTAATACCTCTTCTTGATGAAAATCTGGTTGATGATCAAGATGTCCAGATCAACAGTACAAATGAAGACATAGTATTGGAGTATCCAATACCGTCAAGATGTGCATTAGAATATTTGTATGTCCCAAGGAGCATGTATGAATTTATCTGTATCTTCGAGTTTATTGTGCTTGTACTTACGTGTACCTGTAATCACGGTAATATCTATTTGTTATTTAATATATATATATTTTTTTATATCTTTCGATCATGTAATGTTATAAAATATGCCAGAAATCTGAACACAAAATTATATTCTAATATTTTATTGTATTAACTTTATTGAAGCAATTATTAATTGTTTATTGCTAATTATAAAAATTCACTCTAAAAGTTTTAGAGAACAACATAAAAGCAGAAAATATAAAACGTTTATAAAAATGTTAAAAACAAGATGTAATTCTATATCTAGATAAAGATAATATAAAGAATTTAATAAATATTAGTGGGTTATGGGAACTTACAATTTAAATATGATAATAATATAAAATATAATGTAAATATTAATTTCTTGTTATATAACAACAGAAAATAGAATGTTTTGTTCAATCGATTTTTACATTAGATCTAACAAAGAACTAAAGACAAGAACCAATCATATTAAAGAATTGACAGAACTGCTTTGTCCAATACTCAAATAGCATTCTATTTTTTGTTGTTATATAAGAAACAATTAATATTTAAATTATGCTTTGTAATGTTATTTCACTTTGAATATTGTAAGATTCCCGTGACTTACTCTGTATATGTATTTTTTATTATATTAATGAAATGAAATTTGTATCATTGTATTTCTTTTTTTTCTTTCTATAAAGGTAATGATTCTTTGTTTCTCAATATTACATTGCATATGTGCGGTCAAATAAAAATTCTAAAAGCCAATTTCGTCAACTTTGTTGTCTCAAATCCGCAAGTGTACAATCGTTTCAATGATCTAATTCGGAGGCATAACTATCTGATAGAATTGGCCAAGGAATTGACCGAATCGATCAGTATAGTTTTGCTAACGCAGTTATTTATTAGCAGCATTTTGTTGTGTATAATGGGTAAATATTGTATTTATGATAGTATAAAGTTATTCAAAATATATATGTTACAAGAATCTTAACAGATAAATAATTTTTTAGGTTTTCAATTTATCTTAGCATTAAAAACACATAACGTTGTTGTTATGGGGAAAAGCGCTATGGTATTGTGTACCTTCTTAACGCAGTTGTCCATATATAGCTTTATTGGCGATCACTTGAAGTCTCAAATGGAAGAAGTTGGATTTTTCATTTATCAAAGCAATTGGTACGATCTTCCTACAAAGTTGGCGAGAAATTTAATCTTCATCATTATGAGAACACGATCTCCCGCCAAGCTGTTGGCTGGAAATTTTATTGTGGTAAATCTGGCAACATATATGAGTATCCTGAAAACTTCTATTTCATATCTATCTGTGTTACGTGTAATGATAGAAATATAAAATATAATACTTGTGATGAAAACACTTTACAAAGTACAAATTTACGATTTGGAATGTTTGACAAGAGAAAATTCTGTAGAAATAAAAGATTATTAGAAATTATTATTAGAAATAAAAGATTATTAGAATATTATTTTAATAAAATTGCTCTTGCAATCACAATATTATTGTCTAATTGTACCGAAAATCGATTATTTTTTCTCATAAAAAAATTTCACAATTATATATTTGAAAGAGCTTGTAAGGAATTACTATTTTAATATTGTATGTATATGTTTTTTACAAAAAATTTTTTTTTATTTTTACTCTACTTCTGTAAACTTATTTTTATTATGTTAAATTGTTAAGTTATCAGTAATTGCAGATATTACTTTGCAAATATCATATTATTAACTCGTTATACTTTGCTAACATACTTTAAACGTAATGATTATTTTACCTTTTGTCCTTTATATTTAATTTTGAATTGTTCAATTGTTAAGTAGAATCATTGCAATGTACTGCTTATGATTTTTTTAATACTCTATCGAAACTCAAAATCTCATGACGAATAGATTGCATTATGAATCACACTTATCTTGAAATATAATAATATATCAACGTTATCAATCAAATTGGAACAGATTTTAAGTTTTTATTAATTATATTGCAATTTTCAAATTCTGAATTAATATATTGAACAATGCACATTTTTTTTAACATCACTACTAACACGATCTTTTTTCTATTGCTCGTACTGCAGTGTTGTGGAAGATGTAGACATGCGTACTAGTATCTTTTTACGTTTATCTTATTACCATTCATCATGCATTGTATAAACTAATAAAACATGAGCCTAATGGTGATAATAATGTTTTATCTGCATATCCTATGATAACGTTCATGAATCGATATTGAAATTGCGACATCAAAAATTGCATCCAGTAGTAATGTTCCATAATAACATTCGTAAATTGACATAGAATTTGCAATGTTGAAAATTGTATCTATAATAATGTTTTACGACAAAAACGTTCGTAAATTGACATTGAATTTGCGATATCGAAAATTGCACCCATAACAATCGGATAGTTTCGAATGTTCAGTCATCCGCGTAGTTTGTGTGATCACTATAATGTCGGATGATGTTTGGAACGATGATATCGCTTATGTGTTCTCTACTCATAGAACATTTATGCAAATACTCGGTATATGGCCGTTACAAAAGAGGACGATAGTCATGATAATCCAATGGAACGTAATGATATTTCTACAGGTACGTTGATAGTACATTGATAGGGAGGAAATAAATTGTAAAAACGTTGCAACAGAAAGAGAATAAATATATTGAACAATACAAAATTATTAAGTTTAAGAATTTATGCACAAAAAAATTACCAAATGTCTTCATAAATAGCGCGAATTTTTCAAGTGCGAATATATTTTGCACTCATTATTATACATGCATATTTTCTAAGGCAATGGAATCATTATTAGCTTTCACCATTCATCTTCCTGTTTATGGAATTCGCTGGAAATAATAGTGATACCAGATCAAATATAGATGCCATATTATATCTTTCATGCACATTGAGTTTAAATTTGAAATATATCGCTATTGTTGTTAACGGAGGAAAGTTAGCTAAAAACATTAAGGCTGCTGTTGCTGATTGGGTGTCTGCAAAGAATGATAAGAAGTCGTATAAGATTATGAAGAAATATGCGTTTAAATCCAGACTGTGCACTCTTTTGATGTTGTATTCATCTTTCGTGTGTGGTTTCCTCTATCTACTGTCCGTCTTAGTTATGAACTTAATAGAAATATTTTTACAAGATCAAATGATGAATGTATCAAATGGTAATGTGACATTTTTGGAATATTTGTTGAATTATCCAATAAAAAGTTTTTAAATTAACATATTAGAATGTTAATAACAATTATTAGATATTATTCTGAAAAATAAAAAAGTCTATATATTTTTTATTATTCAATATTGTCTTAGCCATAAGGTTACAATCGACTCAATGCTGAGCCATTGATTGCCACAGTTCAAATACTGACGCAATACTAACAAACTACTAGTCCAATACTGGCTAAGTACTGGATGATAATTTGAGCTCAGATAGTACTGGTCTAGTCATTTTAGCCAATTATTTGCCAGTTACGGCTCAGTACTGGACAGAATCTTGGCGTTAGTCGAGTGTTGGCTACGTGTTGATTTCATTGTAACTGTTGGCGACTCTATATGGGTAAACAATCAAAATTAAAATTTTCTTACTAGAATCTTAATAAAACAAAAGTATTGAAACTTTAATTCTATGTTTATTATATTATTTGTTTTTTTTAACTCTTTTATTCTAATATCTAAATTATATTATTGTTCTTAAGAATTGTATTCTTATTGTATACAGGTAATGTTAGTGCAACAGATAGGCTATTCATAATCCCATGTGGTGAATTCGGTAACAAAATTAACGGCTTACAGTATTCGATGGTCATCGGCTTTCAAACTGTTCAATTATTCATGATGTGTATAGGGCAACCTATTGAAGATAGTTTTTATATTAATGTTACTTTACATCTCACTGGTCAACTTAAAGTACTAAAAAAAAAATTTAAAAATTTTGCAAGCAAGCCAGACACTCAGATAAATCATCGGAAGCGCTTTATTAGCTTGATTAACAGGCACTGCGAATTAACGGAACTCAATCAGAATTTAGAAGATACGTTCAATCTGATTATATTATTCCAACTTGTTATAGTAACATTTCTGCTTGCGCTATTAGGTATCATATCAAATTGTATGTCAAATTTATTGTAAATTTAATGTAAATTTATTGTAAATTTTTTATAAATTCTTATTTTTTATCAAAATATTTAAATATAATATTAAATTATTTTTATCAAGATATAGTATTATATTATATTGTGATTAAAAATTTAATCGTATTATATTAATTTTTATTTCATCTTTTCGTTTCTTTCAGGATTACGTATAATATTTTGTTTAAAACATCACTATTATGTCGAATTAATGAAAAGTATTCTACTTTTGAACTATATACTTATGGAATCGCTGTTGTATTGCTATGGCGGTGATTTTATACAAAAAGGAAGTGAAGATATATTCCATGCAATGTTTAAGGCTTCCTGGTTTACACTTCCCACAACGATGATGAAGGACTTGAATTTTGCTATGATGAGGTCAAGCTATCCGTTTCGTTTCACTGGTGGAAAATTTTTCTATGCTAATTGCGAGGCAATTATGTACATTCTGAAGACAGCAGCTTCATATATTTCAGTTTTGCGAATGATGCTAAAAGATTAATAAAGATTAACAAAAATCTAATCAAGGTACCTATCATGGAACATGTTGGAATAAATTCCGACCAGAATTATTTCGTTTTTTCTAGAAAATACAATAGAAATCTAGAGAATAATTGAATAATTCCGATCGGAATCCATTGCGACTTATTCCA